ATCATTATAACATATTTTTATATTGCTATAATTCTTTGTCGCATTACTCTATTCGTTACTTCCTCCTTTCCGCTCGTAGATTAAACAATAAAAATATAAATGACTTAATCGCAGCACGTTTTCACACTTTCCATAGCAACGCGAGCAAACGAAGTTCCGTTATTATGAAGCGAAAATACGTTTGAAGGCTGACGGAGCCGTGCTGTATTAAGACAACCATGAACAGTGATATTAATAATTACTATCCGATGATCTATTATTAAATGAACTCTCTCAGCACTTTTCTCTCCTGCAGAGTCTGATGTAAGTCGGTTCATACTGTGACGTAGCGTGTGTATAACGCGGAGGGGGGGGGGGGGGAATTATTATTGCATTGTTTTGTTGTCGTTTTATATTCAAAGTAAAAATCACAATCTGTCAAAGCAGACTGCTTTACAACGAATCCCTGCACTTTGTTCTTAAAAAAAACAAGTAAAAAGAATGCAATATCAGTGAAAAACACATATTTACTAATTTAAATCTCTACTGACAAATGTTTGAAGCAAAAAAGAAGTTTAAAAAATCATATTATAGTCATCAAATTGTCGAGAATACTATACAACTTATAATTTGTACCCAAGCCCCCTTTCCTTCCAGTATGAATTGAACAAAAATCGATAGAGCCGTTTGACTTAGCACATTGAGTGATGTAATTGTCCATTCGTCGAACATCACAAGGCAATAAATTGAAAAGTTTATACTTGTGCAAAGACCACCGACCATTAAATATTTGAGCTCCCTTCACCTACATCAGCGATGAGAGTTGGGCATAATATTCCCCTCCCTTTTTTTACCCCTCCCTCTCTCTCTCTCTCTCCCCCCTCTCGTTCTCCCCACTTCTCTCCAGATATACCCCTTCTCTCTCTCTCTCTCTCTCTCTCTCTCTCTCTCTCTCTCTCTCTCTCTCTCTCTCTCCATTTATCTCTCTCTCTTCATCCATCCTTCACTGTACGTCTGGGTGACGCTTTTCTGATCATGCTGATTACCGAATTTCCTTGACATTTCAAAAATAATTCGGTAATCATGCGGTGCGACTGTTTTTAATCAAAGTTCTAGTTTGGAAATAATTCTCCTTTAATTTTCTCCCAGAGCGGATTGAGAGGAGATTTAAGGCATTTGTTGTGAGGGGGTGGTTCAATTATGAATCTTTTCCAGAAGCTCAGTATTAAGACTTATCTTACACACTAAGTGGACAAAATAGAATAATGAAGGGATGTTTGTTGTATTCGACCAATATTTGAGCGCTCATACGCCAAACTTTCGACATGAATACCAATGTAGAATATGCTACTGGCGAAGCGATTACATTTTGAAATGAAATACATAGAACTTATTGGAGGAATGTTGTAACCAATAAGATGAGATTTGCATTGTAAGAATTTCGAATCATAGAAATGATCAGAAAGTTACCCATGTGTTGTGTGGGGTGAAAAACGTTGAATATAAAATAGAGGGAACAAAATTGGTATTGGCCATGAACACTGAACGGTACTCAATACGGAGAGAAAGGTAGGTGTATTATTCTTCACAATGAATTCTTCTGTCAAAGATAAAGTTGGGTTCTGGTCATGCGATTGCATTGTTTTGATTTGTTGTATTTATAATGTATTTTATTTCCTCAATACCAGAGGTAGTACATAATATTCAAAATCATACAAAATCATGTAATTGTGAAAGAAACATTATGAACTCGATTATAAAAGGTTGATCCTCTAGCGTATAAGTATTGGTGTGTACTGCAAGGTTCTGGAATCATCACAGTGATAAGAAATTTGGCCCAGTCTTGGTAAAGTTACAAACACTGTACACAGAAAGATGTATATGGGACTACACGAAAATGTGGCATAAAAATCCGTCCCGATTTGTATGATCTTACATGCCTTATTTAGAATATCAAGCATTTGAAAAGCCTTGCCTTTCAGGGAGCATGTTTTTATCTGATGTTCTTCCACACTTGCATAATAAGAATGATAACGCTCACAAATTATTTTTCACCTCTACCCAGAACTCAACCTTCACTTTAAGTTTAATGCATTAGGGATGGAAGCATGGAATCGATGTGATCGATCGCATGTGCGAATAACGAAGATAAAGGGCGGGAAAATGTAAACAGAAATGTGTGGGAATCCGTATCCAAGGAGCAGATGGCTAATGTTTATTTTATGATCCCCTAACCTGAATATTGGAAAGACTGTCGATCATAATCCCAATTAATCGCATTCGTAATCAAACCTGACGTACATGAATTTTTCTTTATCATTAATTTGGACTCCTTATGTCAATCAAACCAATTCTTAAAGCCTCAATCCACAGTTATTTTGGTATTTCCTTTAAGTATCTTAGAATGTTGATGATTAATCGACTAATATCTGTTTTGAATCGTTGCTTTTTATCTTGCTCTTTCTATAAAATGCTTAACATATTCAGCCTTGTCTACCGGCTGCTTACGATCGGATGGTCTCAATGTCACTTTCAACTCATTTCCCCGTTCTCACGTTCTTGGCTTTCTTTTCTTCTATCCTGGCTCTCTCTCTCTTCTTCTTCTTCTTCTTCTTCTTCTTCTTCTTCTTCTTCTCTCTCTCTCTCTCTCTCCTTTCTCTCTCTCTCTCTCCCCTCTCTCTCTCACTCTGTCTACCTGTCTGTGAATTTCATTTCTCTGGCTCAATCTCGTTCTTTCTCTCTCCTCCCCTCCCTCCCCTCTGAATCTCTTCCTATTTATCGCTATCTACCTATTGTTCTCTTGTTATTGCTTTACTCTCCTGTCCTTCTCGTCATCAGCCCTCCTCCCTCCATCCCTCCTCCCCATCTCTCCTTGTCTCTGAGTGTAAGGCACTCTCTAACCATTTTCTCTCTTTCTCTTTTACCCCTCCCTCTCCCATCTCACTCCCCTATCTCTCGCGGTCTCTCTTTCTAACGTACTCTCTACCTATTTTCTCTTGTCCTCTCTTTCTCCTGCCCTACTTAATTTTCCTCCCTGCCTTTCGTTTTCTGCCTCTCCAACTGTCTCTGTTTATCGCTTGTCCCTCCTCCCCCTCTCTCTCTCTCTTTCTCTATGCCTCTCCATCCCTTTCTCCCCTCCATCCCTCCTCTCTATATATCTTCCTCTTCACCCCTTCCCCCTCTCGTCACCCCCGCAGCTCTCTGCTTACTCACATGTATTTTACCTTCTCTCTGCCACCGTCATACACTCGTCTTTTGGCAACATTATCCATTTCGTCCTTGAACTTAATTGCATCACAAAAAACAGCGTAACTATGGAGATTTAAAAAAAAAAAAACCACATCCAACCCGCAAAAAGCTAATGGAACAACAGCGTCATATTAGCGTGTACTGGGGTGCGGCAGAAATGTTACATTCCATTATTTAAAAAACACCGAACAATTAGTAAACACATTTCGCATGACCCGACGTTATACAACGATTTTGTATTTGATCTTCTACATGGGAATCGTTGCTACTCTCGTGCGAAGAAGCAGTTTGGGTTGTGATACAAAAATCGCTAACTTCACACATGTAAAAGCTCTTTTTGTTTGATCTTCATGGGAATCATTGCTACTCTCGAGCGCAAAAGCAGTTTGGGTTGTGATACAAAAATCGCTAACTTTCACACATGTAAAAGCTCTTTTTGTTTGATCCTCATTTTATAAAAATATACTGTATTGACAAAACACGAAATCGGACTCTCAGGAATAACATTGGCGCCACCATTATAATTTCAACACATCCAGATGTGTTGATTTGACCATAATAGAGATTGATTTTTTTACCCTTTTCTCACTTGAGTTTTTCTCATGCTATGCACGCGTCGAGATCGATACGGCGCGTGGTTGGAGGAGGCTCTTATGGTGGAGCGGCTCCTGTGAACCGGGGAGGAGGAGGTGGATGTGCGGCGGAACATCTTGAGGTGGTGAAGATGGTGAAGATAGAAGGAGGATGGGGAAAGAGTGGATGTCAATCTATCGCTGGGGGTAGCGAGTTTATGCTGTTTACCATTAACTTGGTTAACGTAGAGGTGTTGTGGTCTAGTGGATAAGTCGTTGGATTGTGGATCACAGGGTCCGATGTTCGAGTTCCGCCACGGCACTAATGTCCTTTGGCAAGATATTAATCTACATTTGCCACTCTCCACCTAGGTGTTAAATGGGTAATAGTAGAAAGGAATTTATTGAATGCTGTGAGAGCCAGGGTAATAGTTGCCTTGAGCACCATGTCTGGTGGATATGTGCGCTGTATGAATATCCAATATTATTATTATTATTAACAGCTACCAATTTGAGACTGAAGATAAGCACCATCTATTTTATGAAATATTGTTTGTTTGTTTGTTTGTTTTACCCGACTGCTAAGAAAGCAGGTGTGTATGCTTGTAAGTAAGCATCCAGGGGACTGGTGGCTTTAAGTTCACTCCGAGTGACTTGGTAAGGAGGATTAATGCCTTACCAAAGGGCACTATAACGCATCTACTTGGTTTCGAACCAGGGGTCCCTTCAGTGCTACCACTGAGCCACGGCGCCATAAGCCCCTATACGTTTATATAACAAGCTGGTAATCAATACAAATGAAAAATAATTTTGATTTTGAACACAATAATATAAATATTTATGATGAATCCAACAAGAGGAAATAGATGAATGAATACATGGGTGGATAGATAATAAATGAATGAAAAAAATAAATAAATAAAAAAAAATTGATTAATAAACGAACAAATAGCTCAGAAACTACCTCAGTCAGAAAGTAACTAATTAACTAGTTGACTAAATAACTAACTAACTAAATAAATTAAGGATCAACTAAGTAACCAACTATCTAACCACCTAACTTACTATTGGAATGGATATGAATAAATCAACAAATAAACATTTCAATAACTAATACAATAAAATAATAAATAAATACATATAATGACAAAATAACATTGTTGACATGAAACAACGACTGGTAAATGTGAAATTCGTTACCTCAGCTGAAGCACGTAGATATAGATGTCCTGGGTGTTGCCACTGCTCTCTGAGCTGGACTCGCTGGAAGTTGCCCTTTTTGTTGGGTGACACTTGGAGAAGTCTATCCAATTTCCTCTAGTCCGGCACTCGAGAGTATCAGTAGGTGAGAGGGACGTGTGCTGAATACGTAATCGTAGTAGAGTCCTTCTGAATCAGGTCGATCGTCTACAGATTGGGAAGAGAGAGGGAGAGAGAGAGAGAGAGAGAGAGAGAGACATTATTTAGAGACAGTTATTGCGGATTACAGAGAGAGAGAGAGAGAGAGAGTGAGGTAGAGAGTTATAGAGAGAGAGAGAGAGAGAGAGAGAGAGTGAGGTAGAGAGTTATAGAGAGATTTAAAGACAGTTATTGCAGATTACAGAGAGAGAGAGAGAGAGAGTGAGGTAGAGAGTTATAGAGAGAGAGAGAGAGAGAGAGATAGAGTTAGTAAAGATTAAGAGGTATAGGGGAGCCTTGGAGGAGGAAAAGGGTGAGTGAGGGAGAGAGTGATAGAGAGAGAGAAAGAGAGATAGAGAGATTATTAATAATGATTAAAGTGGGAAATCATAATTAAAGTGGGAATATAATATATATATATATAGAGAGAGAGAGACAGAGAGACAGAGAGAGACAGAGAAAGAGAGAGGGATAGAGAGAGAGACAGAGAGAGACAGAGAGAGTCGAGAGAGGATAGACAGACATATATATATATAGAAAGAGACAGAGAAAAAAAAGAATGAGGGAGAGATTTTAAATTTGTGATATCGTATCCATTTGCATCCATACGTATCCAATGTATTGAAGCCTCTCATCAACAGTCGAGAGATCTGAGCATTTTTTAGACATATTTACACGATTCAACCACTTTCATGATCAATTGAAGATTGCAAGTGAAAGTAGTGCTTTTAGTGGAGAAAACACCGTTTCTGAAGAGCTGATCTGGGGCTCTAATCTCCAGCAAGATGCCGCCGCATCGTCGCCATGGAGTTTGAATAAAAGATGACTACACGTTTACGCGGGAAAAAAAGGCGCCAAAGTCCCTAGGTAATAGCACGTTTAGATTCACATCAGTGAAGATGGAAAATCAAACGTCCAATGTGTAAAATATGAATGAGATAAAAAGGGATGAGAGTCATCAGAATTATCAATTAGAAAAAGCCCACCTGCCCACTGGGTAAAAATGTAAATTGAATAGATAAAGCGTGAAAAGGGGCAATGAAAAATTAGTATCATACTTAATAACGTTCACGATATTGTGGGACTCGCTGGGATTAACAAATTTACGAAATAAGAGAGAAATACGTTGAAGCTTATGTTAATAATTTCTTGACTTTAAAAGTTTCAATCTCTCTCCTATATTAAAGGGGCACGTTCCCGCCAGTGTAGTTATCGGAATATGCCATCTGTGGAAGAGTCGTATTATGTTGGTTTTTAAATAGGCAGCTTTAGCATCGTCCGCCAGCGCGTACGTATTTTGAACGCCCTCTGGAATATGGGGAACATACCTCTTTAATAAATCCGGTAAACGTCACACTAATGTTTACTCTGGCTAAAACCCACGTATAATTCATTAAGAATTTCCGCAGTTGAGCAAGACTGTGTATAAATAGTGTTGATTCCAAACCCCACAATATACACCGATTCGTATTGCAGAAAAATTAACCTTTCCAAGTTTTCCAGGCAGTTTCTCTCACAATGTACATTTAATTGCAGGAACAGAGCTAAAAATTTGTCTTTATACTGCCAGCTGCTCCCATCACGTAGAAGACTCTTTCCGTCTAGGAAGGTGAAACCGCTCATCTTCCCTTCGTGTAACCTCCGTCCTGAAATGCATCATTTTTTATTAATACCCCCTTTACATACACGGATTTTCTTACAAGTTCTTACGGATCGCGCAAATTCACGAATGTTTCACGGATCCTTACGATTTTCCCACTTTTACGACCGATTTAAGAGTTATTACGAGCTATTTACGGTTTATTACGGATTCTTACGAGTTATTACGATGTATTTGCGGCAAAATTCTACGAGTTGTTACGAGTTGCCACGGATAACTACGAGCATATTACGGGCATTTTACGACTTGTTTACGCGTTGTTACGAATTAGTTACGAGTATTTACGAGTCCTTACGAGTGTCTGCGAGTTGTTGCGACCTGTGACGAGTTATTTACGGATACCAGCGAGTTATTTACGGATGCTTGCGATGGACTACGAGTTGGCGATCCGGAAGGACTCGTAAGGAAAATCCGTGTATGTGAAGGGGGTATAAAAGAATCCTGAGGCTTCGGAATAATAATTTCAAGTCCGTTTAGCCACTTTTCAATTTCATTCACGGAAGACGCGTGAAGGTTACAAAGTGCTATGGTATTAATCATTCAAAATCTATTTAATGCAATTTATTTCCGAATTCCCTTGGTTTTTGGATACCAATTAGCAGTATCTTCACATTAGTAATAATTATTTTAGTACATATATTCATAAACTATTGAGAGATTGTTTTCTCAAAAAATTGTGATCTAGCCGATAAAAGACCAGCAGTAGAATATTGTTATTGATATATTCAATACAAATCTTCATATATTCAGTTAATAACATAATATGTGTCGACACATTTTAGTGTCGACTATTATTCTTACCAAAGGTCGTTGAAAATGTAGTGACATCAAATTCAATTGTATATTCTATTATTTTCTTGCCAGAAGACAAAGTACAGCTAATATATCAACCCGAAATTATGCCCCTATACCCATATGCCTGAAATATTTATACTAATTTACGATTTTACTTGATGCAAGGAGCCGTGTATTTCTATAGGATGATTTTACGTAACAATGCGAAAAATCCAGTCCGAGGCAGTGATGCATTGTGGGCTCAATAATACCATTATTCAATTGATTTCAATTACATGAAAAGGTTCTTGTTATACACGCTCTTTACATGATTACATGATTTACATGTGAAAGGAATACGCTATTTTCATTCAATTAATCCGTTACTGGCAGGAATGAACTCCTTGAAATGCTAGAGCACCGTAACGGTAGCCATGCTTAAAGCCGGGGTAATAATTGCAAAGCGCCAGGAGTGTCAAGTCTGACAGACATGAGCGCTATACAAGAACCCATTGTTATTATTACTATCATTAATCATACTTCCGCTACATTGGGTAATTGAGAACACATTTGTCAACGCATGTTTGAAGAACTATTGTCAAAATTCCTTATGTAAAATTCTTGGCGATGTCAACGCGTAATTTGAATGTCATTGCGTTATTGATCTCTGGCAATTGGGAAAGACACACACACACACACACCTGGGCCCCGTTGCATAAAAATTACCATTGATGGTAACTTTGCCACCAATGGCAACTACCATGGTAATAGGGCTCAACAGCCAATCAAAATCAAGGTTTCCATGGTAGTTATACCATTGATGGCAAATTTACCACCAATGGTAAGTTTTGTGCAACGGGGCCCTGATTTTGAACTATGAATATTGTTAGGAAAACAAAGATATGTTTTGGACGAAGGTTGAGGGAGGGGGCTGCACCTGACTTGCTTAGCCGTACATTAGTATTTTGTAGTGTGTAATTTCACTTGGCAACACACGAGAAGAAGAACAAAAGGAGGGAATAAAACAAAATAAGAGAAAGAAAAAGAAAAGAAAAGAAAAGACTACAAAATGAAAAGGAAGAAAAGAAAAGAAATGAAAAGAATAGAAAACAAAACAAAATCAAAAGAAATACAAGAAAGGAAAGAATATAAAAGGCACGAAAGGAAAGAAAAAGAAATAAAGAAAACAATCAAAAGAAAGGAAATTGACAGTACAATACAGAAAAGAAACACAATTTAAAAAAAAGTAAATACATATTGCCTTTAAAGGATGTCAAGGCCCCATCAGGAAACACCTTTAACCGTACCTCAAGTTGTGTAATTAAATCTATTCGTTACTAACGATATCTACGTCATTCACATTGTGATAAATGACTTCACATTTCACCGAGTTACAAATAGAATTTCTAATTATGTAGGTTTTCCCAAAGCTAACGATTCATATTCATATTTTAGGCCTCTAAATGAGTTCTGTATAATGTAGCCTTGGGAGGTATCTACTACAAAATCTGGCTTTTCATTCAACGCGAACTCCTGTGTTTACGAGATTATGACCACAGCAACGCCATTATCGAATTAAAATGATTCATTTTAATGACAACACCGCCAAATGAAAACAAAATTAAATGGAAACAGATCATGATATAATTGAATGTTAGTAATTAGATTCTCGTATTTTTGTATTGTTGTAATTAATACTGAGATGGAAATGTATTTAACATTATGGTTTGTGCAGGTCATGAGAATAGGTTTTTGCAGGTCATGAGAATAGGTTTCATTATCATGGTTAAATGTAAATAAAGCATAAAACCATAGAATACAAAGCGATTCCGACGGACATCGGTTCCTTTGTTTTATTCTCTTTTATTATCCTTTCGTACGCCAAACTATTCTGTTTTTCTGCAATCATGACCGTCTCTATCTTATTCAGCTAGATGCCATCATAGTGGATTTATAGAAACAAACGACTTTGCTTTTCTTGTTTAACTTTAAAAAAAAAAGAAAAAGAAAGTTGATGATGATATAGCCTACAATGTCTTACACTGTTGAGCATCAAGCTGAAATAACTTTTTTCTTACCTCTTTTTATAAAATGATTATCACAATAATTTATGATTTATTTTTGATAAATGAAGTTATATCTTATCAAAAATATATTGATCAACCTTTTTTACTCTTTAGATTGATCAATAAAGTTCTGAAGAGGTACAAACTATATCTATCAAGAATATATCATATTCTCACAACCGCTTCATTAAAAGATGTGAGAGATATTTATTCAATTATGATAGGCAACGGTGAATATTTCACTATTACGCGAGTCATTTCTGTAAATGGCCATCGCTTGTTGAATCTTGCACAAGACACGTAACACACAATGCACGCTAATCAGGTGCACACTTGAAAGGTCGCACCATACTGGAACGCTTCGAGCGACGAAATTAACAGATCAAGATCACAGCTTCTAATTTGCGTAATATAAAATGCGTTTTAGTAACAGTTAGGTAACAATGGTACGTGGGGAGGGGGGGGGGGGTGGTATCTGTAATTAAAACGTGAAAAATATGGATAACCATAAAG